CACCAACAACAGCAACCGCAACAACCGCAACAGCAGCGGCAAGAGGACGGCGGCGCCGCGGCTTCCGCCGGATTCGGCACGGTCCTGTGGTCGGTGCTGGACGACTGTTTCGGCGACGTGGACGCGGCCGGACCGGCCACCGTGTGCCTCAAGTCCAAAGCGCTGACGGCCCTCGACCGGGCCCTGGGCAAGCCCGCCTTGACCCTCACAGACGGCGTCACGCTGACCGCCAGGGCTGGAAAGTCGCTGGCCGTCGACCCGCAGGCCGACCGGGCAGACCGCGCCGCCCTGGACGCCGCTCCGGACGCCGACAGCAAGAACGCCCTGCTCGACGACATGCTCGCCAGCCGCATGGACAGGCTCATGTCCACCAGGACCATCGCGCTGGACGGAGCCGGCCAAGAAGGTGAGCGAATTCGACGCGCGTCACCTATGCTGTTGCGACGGTATTTTGTAAACGCTTCGGGCTTTAAGTCGAGTGGGTGCTAGGAGTGTATAATAATAAATTGTTCCTTCACATGCAACGTGTGGGTGGGCCACTTGATAATTAGAATCTTTTTCACGATTTTCACGAGACCAATGTGACATATATATATATTATATAAAAACCCTTCACTAAAAAAACGACGGCGAGAAAGAAAGGTAATAATACACAATAGCTGTGATCTATTCAAGTGTTTTCCTTAGTATTTTCGAAAAGTTGAAACAGTTTAGTAAATATTTGAAATTACATAGGTACCTAATTTGAGATTTCATAACACAATGACAATTATTTTTTTTAAATTACTTTTTTTCAATGACGATAAACAATTTATTTTTTATTTCGAAGCAGAATATTTTGAGTAGTATTTCGATGTATGAATATCAAATTTCCAATGAGCTGTCATTTTTTTGTTTCGTTTAAACTTTGTAATTACAATTAGTTCTGACAATTATTAAGTAGGTACAACTTAAACTTACAAGAAGATGAGTAGTAATTTGTCAAAAGTTTTTGAATTTTAAGTTTTGATGAGCAGAGCACAGAGTGGTACTGTGCTATTAAAATGTTGGTCCACTATTCCGCTCATCTGAACTTTAATCACTTATTACTACTTAATTTTTTAAAAACTTAAGTTTTCATTTCAAAATAGCAAAAAATACGTACAAATGGTAGGTAACAGTAAACAATTTTAAGAATATAATTTTTTCAAGAACATTGCTCTGTAATGACATGATATTATTGCCACATAAGTTAACATTTTTTCGAGACAAACGTTCCTGAAAAAACGTCACTCAAAGGCGAACTACTCAATGCCATTTTAATATTTTACTATTCGTAGTACATCGTACCGAAGTCGACTTCGAAGTAGTTCGATCTTGGAAATTCAGTTCACACGGACGTATAATATGGGTACGTTTTATCTTTTGGCACGTCCGTGTTTGTGGGTATCGTCACACCGGTGCCGCCACGTATATAATTATGTAAATAAATAATTGAACATCATAATACCTATGTTACTTATAATAATATATTGTATGATGTATAGGCACGCGTCGATATGCACCGTCGACATTGCGATTTTTGTTGAACTCGAATCGATCGTCCGTAAGACTTAGTTTGGGAGAAATCGTATTAAGGGAATCACATTGTAAAATATCCCGACTATATCGTTTTCACACTTCACAACTCGGCGATTTCAACGCCGAAGCTATAAATGAACATTTAATATTTCGTATGATATCTACTCGAGACCCGCCGTCATGTTGGCCACGGTGCCGTTGATCGTTTCGTGGCGACGGCGTGTGGATCTTATTGTATGTCATGAGCTCTCATCATTACTTACCCTTTAGACAGTATACGTTAGGTGCTATACTGCGCACTATACGTATGTATTACCGTGATTCGTTAGTTTATAGAACGGTCTTAGAAATTCCGAGAAACCTCCCTTTCACGACTTAGGGGTAGTATCGGGTACCTATGGATATTATTGATTCTGCTATAAACCTATAACCCCGTAACCCACATTGCCCCGCAATATAATATTAAGTTTCAGATGTGGTGACAATGGCAAAACGCCACTCAGTAGTATGACGGAGTTCTTTTGTATTGGTCGTAGGATCGTAGGGTTTTTTTTTTGGAAGTGTAGACAGTTTCCATGACGTGGACGTGAGTCGAAAATCATTAATACAGGTATAGTAGCTTATGACAGGATTAAATTATAAATGTTCTAATTTGATTCCAGTACTCTGTGCTAATAGAAGGAAAATTAAGGTGGTATTATTGGTCCATCAATAGGAAAATAGTTCGCGATAGAGTCTTCGCACAATCAAACGATAATTTATATAAGTCAAGTGGGTAGGTACCTACCAAACGGTCGACACGAATCTAATTCAAAAATATTACCTGGTTACCTCTGAAATGTAAATATTTAATTTTTATATTTGTCATCAGGAAAGGGGTATTTAGACATGTTTCGAGGGAGAGGGTGGGCGACTCGATTTTCCCTCTACACCACTCGGTATAAGATAATGGTCAGATTAAAAGATTTTTCAGAATATTTAATCCACAAGAAAATCAAATCGTCTATACTTTACCTATAATATTATCATTGTTATACGATAAACGGATAGATCGCACCTTTGGCATTCCGATATGATACCACTGGAAATACAGATGCACGTAGGGGCAGATCGATCCCCCCACGACCACACCCCCCAAACGAAATTCGCCCCAAAGCGACGGAAGTCGAGTATATTGTACCTATCCTAATCGGTGGGTTTGTCGTGCCGTTCGCAGGTCGCAAGAAGAAGGACAAGGCCATGCAACAGGCCATGATGATGGCCGGCATGATGGCCGCGGCCGTCATGGGCCCGATGGCGTTCAAGATCTTGGCGTTGATCGCCGGAAAGGCGCTGTTGCTGAGCAAGATCGCACTGGTGTTGTCCGGCATCATAGCGCTCAAGAAGCTGCTCCAACCCCAACAGGGCGGACACGAATCCGAGTCGGTGTCCCATCACTACGGCCGGAGCTTTCACAGACCCGAAGCCCACGACGTGGCTTACTCTGGCCAAAAGCCGCAGTAGACCTCATCGGCGGACGGCGTGATCACCGGAGCGTCGCGTTTTGATATTAAGCGTGTATTTACGTGTTAGACTATTAATTTATTATTTATTATTTTTATTTTGTACCTAAGTCTGGCCGAGTTGTTCGTACGACAGTCGAAACCGGTCTGCGAATGAAAACTGTATTCGTTCGAATGTCGCACTAGCGTCTTTTGAAAACTATTTAACCATTGTCATACAACAACTGTATTATTACCGATGTTTATAATAATATCATTATTGAAACTTATAGACCTGATGAATGAAAAAAAAAATCAAAATGTTTAAGATTCCGAAAATGTCTAGTTATTTTGTCTGTGTGTTGTCACCTAGCCATTTATTGTCACTATTTTATGGTTAAAAAAAATTTCATCTGCTTTTTATAATATTTTAGCCGCTAAAAACATTACCGCGTTAACGCATTAAACACGATATGACGTCTAGAACACCTTACTTCCTTGTTATGTCCTGTCCTTTGGTTACCCTCACCAGTACTTATA